TCTCGTATGCTTGAACTCTGCCCAATGTGACCACACAAGACAGACTATCTGCTCAGCATCACCTCTGGCCTTGAGGCAAGCAACATCCTGTACCAGCAGTCTGAAACTGTCAAAGCGGATTACAAAAACTACAACAAGCCTGCTGCCGCCAACTCTGAGTCTACGGCAGACGACAGAACAGGTCACGAGGGAGGAAGGCTTCAACTCCAGAACCTTCCCTCCTCCTGAAATCTGCATCACATTGTGAGTCATCACCCAAGCGCCATGGTCATCATATAAAGCGAACGTGTCTTTTTAGAAGACTTGGATTAAACCACTCAAAGCTTGAAATAATGATTGCCTTGAAAAAATGGATGGACAACAACACATTGAGATATTAATATATATATATATGGCAGTATTCAGTATGTGGTAGTTTTGCCAATATTATTTTGGTATTTGTTGAAAAAGTCGTTATGAAATCAAAAATGACCCCTTACTTTTTAGTGCACATTAATAGTCTTGTGGTGAACAGTTAAACCGTGCAAGTTAATACACTGAAAAAAAAAAATTCTGCCATCAAATCTTTAATCAAAAACTGAAGATTGGCTTCCGCTCTGGAATGGCGTTCTGGCTCTGATGCTGTCAGTTTGACAGCTTGGGGAGAATCCTCTTGCTAAGTATGATGTAAGGACTGCTGTTTCCGGGTCCATACCTCTACTCATTTCACTTGAGAATACTATCTCAACAACCATTTATGAGCACCATTTAATTAATATTGCATATTTAAGCTAAGCATTTAACATTTTGCTGTGCACACTACAGTCTCCGTGCTCACAGTGTCTCAGACACTAATATTTTAGCTGAATCACTGTCTGGCCATCTGGGATTTCAGTATGGAGATAAAGGTTAGGGTTGTAATTTTTTTCAGTATTACATGACATTGTGGGTGTATATTAGCACAGTTTGGTGTATTCTTGGGGCGTCTGGTAGAGCTTTAGGACCCAGAGGCGGTGAAGCGTGATGTCAGACGTAACAACGTAGCAGATATTCTTAACCACTCCTATCCAACCGTGAATCTGCTATGAGCAAGAGGTGGAGTGGAGGTGCACCACAATAAAACCCCGCCCTTTATTCAATATTCCGTTTCACTCGGAAATACATCACAACACTTCAGTTGCAACGTCCGGTTCATGGATACTTTAATATTTATATTTTTCAAGGTATTGAAGTGAGAAATTCCTGTATTGTGACCACCAATTTCACGTAATTTGTCAATAAGATAAAAGTGGGTTTTGTTCAAAGTAGCTATTATCCACATAGATCTTTGATATGAATGAATATTTTTTGGTAATTCATTAAATATCGCCAGCTAAAAAGTAACTAGTAACTAGTACTCTGAGTAGTTTTTGAGAAGAGTAATTTGTACTTTTAATTAAGTACTGTTTTGACCCCAGTACTTTTACTTGTAATTGAGTATTATTTCAGCAATGTAACAGTACTTGTACTTAAGTACAAATTTTCAGTACTCTTTCCACCACTGAAATACAGTTGTGAAAAACAACATATAATTGAAGTGTAAAAATGTAAATTGACATTCCCAGAATTTCTTGCGTTATGGTTTAATCTTAGTTTTTTCTTATCAGTTGTGTTCATAAGGGTTATATACCAATAGGTTGGTATATTATCATTATATCAGTTAATGAAATATGGTTTTTAAATGCTGGATGGAACTAGAGAGTTTAATGTTTTGGACAGGACTGGCAGAGGAGGAAGGACTCCAGGAGTGGATGTAAGGGTGGGGACTAGATCCATGACTGACCATTTAGTGAGTAAAGCTGTAGTACTGGCTCTGGTATGGCAATTCAGCGGATACTGACACTGGGACAGACCATACCTCAGGCTGGGGGTCATGCAGGCATTTGCGTAAGCTCAGGGTCAATGGCAGGTCCAGAGATCTCACCAAAACCCCTTATCAGACCCCTTTATAAGAGAGAGAGAGAACTGTTCAGGGGTCCAGCAATTCTAGTATTCCGGGTATTGAAGTTATTGAATATAGAGTTTTTTTAATAGGTGATGTCTCTGAATGGATCAGGCCCGGTTCCAGAATCAAATCACTGAGGGTGCTTCTGAAATTAGTGAGGGTGCTCTAACCTTAATGCACATTTATTTTGATGTATATTTTTGTCTCACCCATTGTGGTTATCATTATGTCAATAACTGCAATTTTGAGATTAAATCCCACATTTATATGTCATTCCCGAATATTCCCGCACAATGAATCTCTTATTAACACCATGTCTACACTTTGTTTGTTATAATGAGAACCAGGCAGAACACTGTACAGCACTGTACAAAAACTCTGGCATTTTGAGCACTGAATGGATTGCAACTTAAATGCCTCTTATTGGCTGTTGAGTTCAGAAATAGCACCTTCTAGCACCCCCATACAACCAGGCCTGGGGAGGGATCAGAGGTGAAGAATCAGAGGTGTTTCGACTGAACTGATACTGATTTGAGGAAACGTGTTTGACTGCTGGTCACTTAGAATGGCTGTGGTCAGGTAACTGTGGTCAGCCCTCCTTTCACACACCTGCAGTACCTCCGTCAGACCTTCTAAAAACACACACATAGTCTAATTACTGTCCACCACACTCCCAGTTTCCTTCACACTGTTTCATCTCTCTCAGTCTTACACAGACACACACACACACACACACATGCATACACTGCCCAGTGATTCAGATGTACCCAGCACACACTCAACATTGCATAATGTTACACCAAACGTCTCTCTCAGAGGAATACACTGCTTTCTAAAACGAAAGGACAAAACAGATTTTTTACAGTGATTCTTAAAATTATAGGTTTGAGAGGGTCTTTGAGTCTTTTGAGACTGTAAACTTCAGAGCATGAATGGGTACTTTTCAAATGATGTGATTAACAATAAAAAAGAAACATTTCTAAAAGGCTAATGATTCTGAGAATGTGATATCTTCAAAGCTTTCCACATAGTTCTTGTCAAGCATATTCAGATTGCTTGCAGGTACAGATCATATGAAATGTTATGTGTACTCTGAGTGACAATCAAATGCAGAACATATTAAATATGTGTGAAAATATGAATACCTTTTTAAAAAATATGGTGAAACTTATACGGTTTATATGTACAACAATGAGAAGTAAACTGTAAGCATGCTGCAGAAACTCTACCTTTTCCTGGACACTCTTCGATTTCAAAGAAAATAATATATAGCTGGCAGCCAGACCGAGTTCTTGCAGACTTCTGTGGCAGTTCTGATGCAACATTTATAGGGGATTCACATTCTTCAGCTCAAAGTGGGCAAATAAAAGTTGACACAGCAGCCACACTCACAATTGTTCAGTTTGAAACACACACGTTAGCGCAACCGACTGATGCAAACAATGCATACTGCCGCAACCAATGAAAAATATCCTCACAATGAACAATTCTGTGATTCTTCTTTCAGTTTGTTTTATTAGACTGCACTGGCTTTATGAGGCTGAGGGTGAACGTGTGTATGAGGTCAGTGAAAGAGCACATACAGCTCTTGAAGAAAGAGCAGAACACCTGCAGGCAAACTGAAGATTTAAATTTTTTCTATTTCACTCTTCTAAACATTCTCATGTTTTTTTGTGGAAAGTGGCTGTCACCACAGAGCTGTGTCGCAATCCCAGTCAAGCGACAGACATTGCAACTCTTAGCAGAAAACTCAATCCCACAATCATCATCTCTTGCCTTCCCCAACACAGAAAAGTTTTTTTTTTTTTTCCATATACTCTGCTGTCGGAAGGATATTGGTCATGTCTCATGGATTCCACCTCTGTAGACAAATTCTAATTGCTTAAACTACTATTGTTACAGTACTTCCAGTCTCACTGTTTTATTGATTCAGCCGATTCTTGATACATGGGACAAACCACATCCTACAATGTATCTGTCATTAGTTTTGATTCAACTAAATATTCAAGTCAGCAGTATAGCACAGTTTACAATACATATAATTTCAAAGATGATTTTAGAAATAGAAAAATACTAATGTCCACAGCAAAGGAAAGGCAGCTGCGGCAAGGAAAAAAACAAATGGATGTAGACCAAGAGTTTAGAGTTTAAATTAATGATATCAACATTTGCATTTATTAATTATCCGAGAGATAATGGGTTTGCAGCCTGAATGTCCTCTTTCATATTTCCATTGCTATGAGTTCAACAAACACGCTCTAAGCAATTTTATAGAAAAGAAAAAAGAAAAAAAAGAAAAGAAAAGAAAAGAAAACTACATGTGAACATACAGAGAGAGATGGTCCAAAAACCTCTTTATTCTAGAACATAATCAAATACAATCCATTTAATATTTCAAAGCATAGAAAAATAAACACAAAATTACATAAGTCAACTCAACACCAGCCCAAAAACGAACACATTATCTTCAACAGAACATAACATATTTTAAGACACCATATGTTTAGGTGTCAATAAATGTGACAATAATGAGTATAAGGAAACTAACTAGGACACAAAGAACTAGAAACAGACACATGAACAAAAACACAGTGAAAGTAATCATAATCCTGACAGAATGCATATTTAACAAAATAAAAATAGTTCCTTGATATATAAACATTTATTTTTGTATTTCTGTTTTGCCCTTGTCACAAGGATAAAGAAAATAGATGAGAATGCAGTTGATTATTGGTTGTTTATAGGTTATATATGATATGTTGTGGACAAAAAGACAAGATATGTAGATTCCCTCTTTTCTACACACACACAAAAGAAAAGAAAAGAAAAGAAAAGAAAAGAAAAGAAAAGAAAATTCTGCATACATTTTCTGTCAAAAACCGTGGCATGCCAACTCCAAACCCACTCTATCAAGAACTTGGGATTTTACTAGTTCCTGTTAAGTAATGAATTAATTAAAAATAAATAAATAAATAAATGAATAAATTGTAAACAGTGAAGTTCAATAAAAATATATATTTAGTATCAATCTTTATATACCAAAATATACTTCAAAATTTATAGGGGCAATAAAATACATTAAGGCATGTTCTTTGCTGATTTTTATTAAAATACTTTATATGTTCAGACGTTTTAGTCAAAAAATCAGTATATATATATATATATATATATATATATCGTTACACTCCATAACACATGTGAAAGTGGAAGGGAAATTGATTTAATTCTGCAGTGCCTGCTGGGAAAAAGACCAACAGCAGTTCATTAACAGCAAACTGAATCTTTCAATTCATCAAACACGCCTTCATTTCTAATCACACATTTTAGGCCTTGCTGCTTCAAAGTATTTATTAAGCATGCAAATCAATCAATGTCTTATATTTGGTTCACAAAATCTTCCAAAATGCAGTTAGTCACCTACCTAGATAGCATTTTTAAAGTATCATTGCTGTAAAGGACAATCCTTTTTTATTTTTTTTATTTTTTATTTTTATTTTTATTGTATTTTATTTTATTTTTCATTT